GCAAGAGCATCGCTACTAGTAACAAAGGGCATTACTACTAGTAGGCGGCTGCGGCGGCCCCGGCGGCGGCTGCGGTGGCCCCGGCGGCGGCTGCAGCTGCTCCGGCAGCGTCGCCTACGGTGACCGTGGCCCCAGCAGCGAGCACTGCACCAACTGCAGGAGTTGGACTAGCTTGTTGTTACTAGTAGTAAGTTTGCTACTAGTAGTAATGCCCTTTGTTACTAGTAGCGATGCCCTTGCTTCTAGTAGCTCCTTGTTACTAGTAGCGATGGCCTCCAACCTAATAGCGATGGCCTCCACCTAGTAGCTTCTAGCTACTGGACCGATGTTCAAATTATTGGAGAACATGGTTTGTGACTGCAGAGTTCATCGTACCGTGCACACAGATGGCCTGTTTTCCACCGGCTTCTAGTTTTGAAGATGTGCATGGTTCCTCCGGTTCTTTTTTCATACCTGGAAGACCAGGAACCTGGAATTGAAGACAGGGCCATCAGAGGTGAAGGATGAAGACATGGCCAGATGGAGCGTGCTCACCCTGAACACATGTCGGTGCCTCACAGACTCATATCCTCATGTCCGGTGTCCTTGAAAGAGCGCGGAGAAGCGTTTTTTTCAATGCTGGCTGAGCTTATTTCCACTGGTACAATGCCCGCATCGCAGGGAACATGAAGACTCTGTAGTGATATAGTGACCATGGTTTGCCTTGCCAGCTGCCTCGTGATCCACCGCTCTGCACAGGAGCAACCTGAGCATTCGCCAAAGGCGAATGTGAATGGACCCGGGGTCTTTTTGGTGCTGGTGTAAGGCCCCCCCAATACCAGCAAGAAGATGACATCCAATGAAAAACCTTTTGTTGAGCAACTGTCCAAACTCTACAAACATGGATGATCAAGAACCCATTGCCTGCCAAGGTCCTGGGCGATGCTAGAGAAGAACATGAAATCCTTGCATGAGAAAAGGATTCGATATTTTGCCCAAAGAACAGACCGATTGGGAACGATTTGAGACACGGTTGAAGAAGGGCTCCAAGTAAGAAACCCCGGGATTCTCACACATCGCGAGTAGCCGCCACGATGACCCGAGCACCACGGCATCACCGCCAGTTCGAAAGCAACTGGTGATGGGTTTCACAGCAATTTCGGGATCCTGAAGGAATCCTGGGTTCCAATCGAAAAAAGGCTGGACGCGAAGACGAGCTTTCGCGGCTGGGATGGACAGGAAGGAAGTTGCCAATCACAATGGAAGGGTGTGGCTCAGAGCGCTCAAAGGTTCTGGAGCATGTCATCGAAGGACCCATGGTAGGTGTTGGTGTCGGGCTACAGATGCAGGGTAAGCAGCCAGACTGTGTCTAAGATGTGAGCCATGAAAACTACTGTAGAGTCACAGAGAACTCCAAGTTGGGTCGGCAAATCGCAGCATGCTCCTTGGATTCTTCCACCATGTCACAAGTTCGACATTCTTTTGACTCTTATGGTTCAGCTTGTTCTTCGAGTTCTGGTGCAGATTTGAAGGAACGCTGCCGAGAAGCACCGCACGAACACCTCTTTGGAATTGGCCACATCCATCATGACGCAGTGTTCAAATGCATTTGAGACACAGAAAGAGATTGATCCTCAATCCTCAAGCAGCATGTAAACTGTATGTCATTTTAGTGCGCACAGCCGCCGCGATAAGAGGAACATACGCATACATATGCAAAGAATTGCAAAGATTTATGTTCTAAGATTTAACTATCTAAGAGGTCATGTGTGCGTTCTGCAGCCTCTAAGTATGTCTAGAATGCAATTACTTCTTCGAAGACTGTCACTATGCGTCTCACGGTGATGGGGGACCGCCCTGTGGCATGAGCAAGGCGAGGTCGGTCCCGGGCTGCACGACACCACCGGGTCGCGGGTGGGCCCCTAAGATGGGAGAAAGGTGGCCGAAAAAGGATGGGTTTCATCCATGCTCATCCCAAGCGTTTGGGCAGTTGGATGGCCCATAGATGGCCCTTTGGATCCCTAAAAGGCCCTTACATAAAGCTTCCTTTTGGGTTTCCACCTCCTCCCCACTGCCTGGGTCGAAGTGGAGTCAGTCCATGAGACTCGTCATGACCGCGCCGAGTCGGTACCCCCGGACCCTCCGAGATCCGAAACGTCGGTCGAACCACGACTCCGCAGGAGCTGCTGCCTGTCACGGCTGGGTCGCCGAGAGTGGAGGCGACGTTGGGTCTTTCGGCGACGCAGGGGGAGCCTTGGTCTTTCGCGATCCAAGTTCTGAACTCATCTGTCCAGGACTTTGCAAGTATGTACGGAGTTCTCGGTCTCAAGCCGTCGGGATGTGCAGCTTTCCTGGAAGCCTGCTTAACTCTCTAACTCAACTCGGCATGAACACTTGTGTAAGTGTTTGGTGACTTGGGTTTGCCATATCTCATGTCAGTTGCTTTCAGGTTTTACTGGTTGAGTGCTTGGGCTGGTGGCTTGCGTTGTGGTTGGTTTTGCTTTTCCCCACCCACTCACGACTGGGATCTTCGTGGTTCTGGGTACATTGGCTTTTGTGGGGCTTCCCTTGGTGGTGAACCTCCCTGGATGTTGCTTTGGGGCTGCGCAGGTTTTGGACATTTTGCCTTGCAGGTTTTTCCTTGTCAGGCATACCTGGCATACCTTTTGTCATCATTTGTCAGGGTTCTTCCACGCTGCTGCGCCGCTGCAAGGAATCGGAAAAGTAGAGTTAGTGGAGCTCATGGGCTCTTTGCCATTGTTGGGGCTGAACAGGCAGGGTTGCTGCTGGCCAGCAGCAACCCCACTTGTATTGATCAAGCCATTCAAGCTGCATCTATGCTGGGCTTGCAGTGTTTGCTTGCCAGTTGAGTTTGCAGAGGACTGGACCGATTCGAGGTCGACGGGATCCAGCTCCTTAAAACCGTATATCCATTGTGGAGATGATGTCCCCTGCTATCTAGTGGAGGTCCGACCCGAGTACCGAAGATCAGAACAAAGGTCATGTCGAAGAGATCGCTAGATTGCTAATACAGAAGGTTTTCTTATTGGTTGATCGGTTGAAATACACACTTGGGCTGGTCGGAGCTTGTGACAACTTTTGCCGTGGACTCGATGTTGGGAACAACACAGATATTGTTAGGAGCAAGAAGCTAGGAGCAAAGGGCATCGCTACGAACGGAGCAAGGACGCTACGAACGTAGCTCCTGGCCTTACTAGGAGCAAGAAGCTACTATAGGTTGCATCTACATCTCCTTCCCCCACGGCCATTTGGCTCACCTAGGCCAAAGGGCGTTCCTGTGCCTTGACGCTGAAAGCGGCCTTGGAAGATACCCAGCTTCGACCAGAGGTCGGGCACCTGAGAAACGCAGATGGCGAGTGCCGGTGGAAGGAGCTTCATGTATGAAGTTTCGTGGTTTTTTAGAGGCGAAGTGGCAGCCACCGCGTAGGTGCAGCGTCTTTCTTTCGGGGGCTACGACTGAATCACCTGTGTGAGCTTTCATTTGTTCGCAGATGATTGTCACCTTGTAAAGCTGTCGTGAAGGTAACGTAATGACAACCTGAACTGGCCGTCCAAAAACCGAAGTGCCTATGGCGTTCCTTTCATGTCTACCGGTCTCAAGGTGACACATGGAACAGAAAAGATGATCAGCGCAACTGGGACCCAGTTTTTCAACAAGCACAAACATCGGTCAACACTGTTTTGATGCTGAATATATATATATATATATATACACAAAGATTGTTCAGTCCAGCGCACCTGCTCAACGCTCAATGATGTTCATCTAGGCGCCGTAAGAGTTTCACCCGGAAGGACAGCGCAGGACTTTGGGCTTCATGGGATGGAAGGTGTACTGCTTCTTGGAAGGTTGGTGGGCTACCCGACCTTGATGCGGGCACTTCGCCCAAACATTGCTTCTATTTTTTCACTTTACACCACCTACACTACTATCACAGTGACAGGCCCTGGTGGCCCTGGTCAATAGACTTCGAAAGATCTCCACTTTCGGTGTTTTCCTCTGGCCAGGTGGTGCACCTCGTCGGTTGCGGCGATGCCGAGAGGTCCATGGACTGGCAGGCGGGCGGGCGTCGGCGTCGGCGTCGGCGTCACGGGCGGGCGGGCCTGAAGTGGAGCCGAACGCGTGGAGGCTTCTTAATTCAAGAATTTTATGTTTTCTTTATTTTTTAGTTTTATTTTCGGGTGTTTGGAACGGATTTCATGGTGATCACGGTGATCACGGTGATGGTCTGAGTTCTCGTGGTGGGCCACTCTTTCTTAGTACAATCTTGTCTAAACTGTGAGAGTACTTGCAACCGCTGTTGATCTTGTATGATGTGCGTTGTACGTGATCCCCTGACGGTTCCACTGGGCGACCGACTCGGCCAGGTGCTGAGCGATGCGTTGCCGTCCAAAGCACGGGTGGTCTTAGCGCCTGGGCGGAAGAAACCGACGACGACGGTGCTGCCGGTGTGATCCGGTTGGTGTGCCTTTTTGGGGGGCTGTATTTTCGGAAATAATCAGCTCAGCATCAAGACTGAAGAATCCTCAGATGAACACAAAAGATCACAGTGATGGATCAAGGATGCAGAGCTTCCTCTGGCTAGTCCGTTCCTGCTCAGCTTCTCTGAGGCATGTTTGAAGGGCACCTGAGACCACCACTCCCCAAACACCTGAATCCATTTCCCTTTTTCAGACTGGGCACCGGACTTCCGGTCGATTCACGACTCGGACATGGACTTGGGGGCACTCACCAAACCTGGAGCGACTTGCCTAAAGTGTGAAGGTTCCCACAAATCAGATCCTGATTGTGAAGAAATCATTGCCAATGGGGATCCGTTTTGGCCTGTCTTCCCAAGAAATTGCTTCAGACGTCACCCCCATCAGTCCACCTGCTGCCGGAGCGTGGGAGAGCTCGCGCGTGTTTGCTCAGGTCGGCCCGCATGGCTTGGGCGCTGCTGCAGCGCCCAAGGAGGCCAGCCAGAGCGCGGCCGATGTTTCTGGGTCGATCGTAGAAAGAATTCTCCTGTGAATGGTACAGATGAATAAGGTAACCCCCCCCAGACCATGGATTGAACAATCTCTTCTATCTCCCTCGTTTCGATGTCCGCCGCTGTTGCCCCTATTGGGCGGTCATGAAACGCCACCGTGGACACGCAGGGTCCACCGGCAGCAAAAGAAAGCACGTGAGGCGACCGACAACCAACATGAGAATCCATCAAAGCGGAAATTCCCACGTAGAAAGGTGTTTTGAACAGCCTTGGTTGCACAAAGAAGCAAATTCATGAAGTTCATCTGGTGCGAATCGAGCACCGACGATGGCCCCTTGTGGAAGGGCTTTCCCTTCAGTCTTGAGTCTAACGTTGTCAGTGAAGCCGGGGAAAATACCGTGGTTCGGCAACTTGTTAATGAATACAAGGGTCCTGGGAAGCCAAAACGTCAAGTCTCGAAACGTTTTGTCACTTGCAGAGCATGCACGGAGGATAAAACCTCTTTTCCAGAATAAAAAAGCAAATTCAACGTAAGACGTGCAAAGTTCATCTGACACACGCCATTGGAGCGAAGTTGTGAAATCGAAGAATGTATTCAAGTCAACCGGATCGAGCTTGGAAAGCCAACCTTGTGGGTGTTCAATCCGGAAAGTGGAGGTCCACTTGAATAGTGAGGGGTTTTGAATCCAATCCCACCTGGGAAAACGTTTACGAAGATCAACTGGAGCATGAAATTCCGCTGGAGCATCTGTGGCTGGGGCAGCTTCATGGCTCACATCGAGCCCAATTGTACGGTTCCATCTTGCAAGAAAAATCTGCCTGTGGAACACATGCTTTTGTACTTTCTTAAAGTCGTCAGGGAGAACTGGAGCATGTTTCAGGGCGGTCTCCTTTGCAATCTTGTCTGCAATCCGATTGAGGATAATATCGAGCCTGGTAGTATTGTGGTCATTGGCGAACTGGTCAGTAATGAGCGCATCATCCACATCATCAACAACATGGGCTGGGATCCACACAAGTTGACCTGGTTGAGGATGAAGTTGTTGCCTCTGCTCAATAACTGACCAAATGGCCTGCCACCAATAGGGGTGGCACAAAGCACCTTTTGGCCCTTGATGGCATAAAAGGTGTTGGAACTGGTCAACGACGGTCTTGCAATCTGTATGTACAACAATAGCTGTATCCGACAGGATCATTGCTTTGTAGATTGCAAATAATTCTGCTGAATACGATGATAGCTTCGGGGATTGTACTGGACCTGTATCAACCTATATTACCTATATCAACTGTATCAACCTATAACAATCTCTTCATATATTACAGACCTGGGAATTGAAACGTGATCAAGAGTCTACATTATGGCATGGCCCGTTCAAGAAGCGAAAGACCCCATGTTTGTGAGGATGGATATGGCTGCAGAGTTCATGACTGCTCTTCACAGAGCTGAACTTTTATTCCGGTTGTTGTGGTTGCGCTGTCTTCCTGACTGGGGAGCAGGTCCTAGCATTCCCCAATGGAACTGCAGGCAGTTCCAGAGCACAACATATTTATATAACCTGGGTTTCCAGACGCAGTCCGGTTGAGGTAAAACTGCTTGTACAATCTTGTAAATGACATGAACGTATCATCAGGCTCGAGATGCTCGAGTTTTCACCTGCTGATCACTTGGCTCCTCTTCGGTGGCAATGTTTTGCCGCATGGCTCACACAATCAATTCGCTGCTTGGCCGTGACCCTATGATGTGTCAATGATGTCCTTCCGAACAAACAGTTTCGAAGATGCACATCCTGGCACCTGCTCCGTGTCTACATACCCGAAGCAGATACCCTAACCCAGGTATGAAGGAGCATGCTTTACACCGACGAATTTTGCATTGCATAGTAATGGTATGCTTGTCTAGAGAAGGCAAGTTCAAGAGATTTACTCAGCAGTTGAACTTCTACTTCCCGTCACCCCTGGGCACTGCCGCTTTCTGTCGCTCCAAGTGTTTTGGGGCAGGTGGATGCCATGGCACCAAAACCTTAGCTCCCAGAGCGCTTTTCTGTTCTGCCGCCACGAGGGGCGACAGTGCCCGTCCATTCCGGAGGTTTGATCTTCTTCTTCCCCCCCCTGCCATTTTGTTTGCCCTTCATTGGTGGCAGGCGGTTCGCGACTACGACACAGTGCTGCTGCTGTTGCCGCTGCTATTGCCGCTTCTTTCTTCGGTTTCCGTGTCTTCTTTCTCATTTCTCTTCTAGCCAGGTGTGCGCCCTGACTGCCCCTCTTGCTTGCAAACGCTTGCTTACAAGGGCTGGGTGGTCCAGCAACTCACAGGACCAAGCCTTCCATTCCCTTTTGGTGCCCTTTCTCTTTTGTCTTCTTTCTTTGGTGTCAACTGGCGGCCTCTCTTAACTACAGCGGCGGGGTGTTCATGCACACAGCTGGTGAAGCGTCTCCGGCTTGGTTCCGTCGTGTTTCTCTTTTGATTTCCGTCGTGGCCGCCTCTCGTTCTGCACGAAAAGGGCTTTTCTCGATCTTGCCCTTCCACACACTGGGGTGCTAGAGGGAAGACACGTGCAAACAAACCACACATCAAGATAAATTACCAGCTTAAGACACGGTATGGACTGTGAATTTAAGATCTAATTCAAGTGCCGAGCTCGTTTTCGGTTAACGGCCTTTGCAAGCGAATGATTGTTCGATCTTTTGGCAGACATTTTTTCAACATGTACGCATCTAATCTCTGGGTCAAAAAATAAACGGATAGGCCTGGTTTGGCAGCGAGGAGTAATCGGAGAGGATTTGCATGGCATCATGGCGAGCGCAGCATGAGGGAGTGTAGGGCGCGATGAGATGCCGCCAACGACAGCTACGATGAAAGCCCGAGTCGTCTCGAAGAGGCCCCTTAGCATCATATACAAGGCGATGGAAAAGGTGGGTGGTCTACTTATAACTTCTACCTTTGTCAGCTCATTTGCCTTTATATAGCTGTTCTGGCCCTCCAAGCGGGTCACCACAGTTGTCCAGGGCGCATGGGTGGCGCGCACCTGTCAGGAGCTGCTGGGCCCTTACTCCTGCTGCGACCTGGAAGTGCCGGGGCGCCAGAGGTTTCTGGTTCCAGAGGTTCTCACATCGGAGATGTTCCCGAGCAATGCCGCGCCAAATCCTGGTGAATTGGGCGTGTCCGAGTTCTCCGAGCGTGGTGACGTCGAGAACAGATCCACGTTCGAACGGTTTCAGCTACGCTGCTACGTCACAATGGGTCGTCCAGGTGTGTCTTTCCGCACACCTACCAGCGTTTCATGATCCAGGACGGGGCAATCCGAGGAAGTAAAGAAGAGCCACAAGAGGGCTGTTGAAATGACGACGAGTACCCTCCCTCTTCCAATCCTTGGAAACTGAATATGATCCCTGGAGGCTGCAGGAAAACCTGCATAAACAGTTGTTTCTCCCAAGACGGCACAAAGAGATGCTGATGGAGATCCAAATGAAGATTCTCCAGCCAGCTGCTTTGGCAAAGGACCAAACCCTGGAAATGCTGGGAATAAGCACGTGTTGCAAGCGAAAGCATCAAGTTGCCTGCCTATAGTTTGTTCACTATTCTACTCTCTCAGTCATGGAAGTAGACCTGATCAGCCGCGCATCAATGTCCCATGTCAGTGTATGACTTGCGATTGTCCATTCTTGATCCATGTTTATGTACTTTTGGAGACCGGTCTCCAGCAATGTACACATCTCAAAATGCATGCACATTTTTGGTTCGTTTCTGCGCACATTGGCTGGTTCGTACCCTTCAGCCTTCTGCAGGAGTTTGAGCCACCTCAACTGGTGGTGCTTTTTCATCCAGGCCATGATGACAGGTGATTACAGGTGAAGGAGCTCGCGAGTCTTTGTGGTCCTTTGAGCACTTTTTGGGTACCAGAGGGCGATTTCTGCTGAAAATCATCGTGACATGTGGGTGAAACTGCGAGAATGAAAAGAGAAGGAGAGTGCTGTCACTGGTTTCTCAGGAAACATCTACCACCTGTCTGCTCCCTACTGCCCCTGGCAGTGAAGAGTCTTTTATTCAACCAGACACTGACTGGTCCTTTCATCCGCACCCATCGACCGCACATCGTGAGGTCTGGATGTCCATTACTTCACCTGGTACCCGTGCATCAGGCGGCGCCGGGTCTCGACCGTCTCGGTCCGTCTCGGTCCGTTCAGACGGATCTCGACGTCTCGTCGGATCTGCCGAGGCAGTGGACGGAGCAGAAGATCCCCCTGCTGATCACAGCCTACCGAGTTCCGGGAGGAGCGGAGCGGCGGCATATCGCGCTGTGCAGGGCGGGGCGGTGCGGTGAGCGGGGCGCACAGGTGAGCGATCGGATCGTGCCAACTGCAGTGCCAAGAGGTGCCATCTCGTTTGACTCATCTGACTGTTTGAACTGCAATGAAAATGGATGTAATTGATGTAACTGATGTATACTGTATACTGTATACTGTTGTAACCAATCAAAGGTGGAAGGTAATTCGTCTACGTTGCCTATGATGAGTGTAGCCAGTATATTAGTGAATAGTGTTATCAAATTGAAGTGTGGTGAACATTCCTTGCAGAGTAAGTCTCTAAGTAGATGATAGAATCAGCGAATCTTCTGCACCATGGAGGTGACGGCCGGAGTCGTGTTCGTGTGATGGTGTCTTTTTGTTGGACCATGTTCAGGGATTTTATCGCTTTCCATTTTGCAACCCATTTTTCCACGCGCCAGCCTCCTGTTTTGGCCAACCCCAGTGAAAAACGGCACTATGGAGACACTGCGCATCGCAGTGCCATCCAATCACGCGCAGGCCTGGGAGAGACACCACAAACAGCCTGGGACCTTGAGAGCGGCCTGTCTGGGAGACAGAAGACCACCCAAGATGCTGCTACCAGCCCTCTTTGTATATACTGTAACAGGACTTTGGACCATACGATGCTGATAAGCACTCAATTACTGTTCCTTTTACGGGCTTTCTGATCAGCAAGGCGGCCATTTTATGTATTTCATTTTTTTGCGCAGCTAGCGATTCTTTCTGACAACTTTTGGCCGGGGCTGACAACTGTCCAAGATAAACTTGACCTTTTTGTCGATTTGATTGTGTTCGAGCTGTCTTGTTGGCACTGGTTTGGTGTCCGACTCACTTCAACACCGTGGACTCCTATCGACGGTCGAGCACCGCCGTGTTTGGCCGTGCGAAAGTCTGGCCGTGCCGTGCGTTGAAGGTCCGGACTTTCCTGGAATGCCTGGTGGGGACTGGAGGTGGACAAGGCCTATGGGTGCTTGAGGAGAGGATTGGTGACTTGTGCAGTGTCCAAACCTTGGGACGATTTTGAAGGACTTGTTTTGGCCTGGAGCCAGAAGCACTTCAAACTTGAGGCCCTAGGTTGGTTGCGACGGCCTTTTCGCGAGGAGGAGAACCCTCATGTCGCTGAAAACGGCTCTTTCAATGCAGGACCGCGGGGGAACTGCGGAGGAGGGTGATTCCCGAATAATGTCCTGGTTAATGCATATCTTAAGTTAATGTCAACGCCCTTGGGGCCCTAGGTCTTCCGTTCTTTTTCTTCACATATCCTTCTTTTGTCTTTCTTCCATGTCATCAACATAGTCCAAGTCAGTGATCCATGACTTGACTGCTTCTACGCTATGAACTTGAGAATGGCCTCTACACCAGATGCTCACAGCTCAGTCCGGCTTCGCTGCTTGGGTACTGCGACCCTCCGGCAGAAGCAGATCTTCCGATGGTCCAACTGATAGACAACTGCTTCAGCATCTTTGGGCGATGGGCAAGAGCCCTTCAATATCTTCCACCCCAAAGCTGTGAAGGAAGAGGAGGCCCTGAAGGTCAAAGCCCTTTTGAGGGATGTTGCCGATGTTGCCTGATCCTGCTCCGATGCTGGGCAAGGGACTAATTAGCACGCTTCACCTCAAGACACGACGGGCAAAATCGGATTCTTCAGCCCGTTTTTTCCCAGGGCGCTGTTTTCAGTCTTTGCCTGTCTTCCTCACAAGAGTGTCAGACCAAAATCATTCAACATCTATGCAAACCATTTTTCCTTCCTTCCTTCCTTCCTTCCTTCCTTCGACAGATGGCGTTGGACGTGCCAGGATACTTTGTCAGCCTGGGATCTCAAGGGGCACTTCCTATTCAGGCAGAGGACTGGCTTTGATCCGGAGAGCTTTTTTTCACACGCTTCCCATCCGGCGCTCGCGGGTGACCATCCGAGTATAGATTGATGTAGCGATGCCCAGCCCGCCGAGAAGGTCTGAGCAGCGTGCATCGCTTTGGCATCGCTTTCGGCACAGCGAAAAAGAACATGATCTCTTCCCATGACAGTAGTGAAAGCTGGAGGAGATGTATTGGCCGCTCTTCCAAGCTTTGGGGAAGATCGGGCACCCCTTTGCTCCTCGTGTAGGTGCATGTCCTGGGGACGGCGGCTGGGATGTCGTGGGGAGGAAGCAGCCTTGGCATGGAGGAGTTTGAGAGAGTTGCGGGGGTAACCCAAGGTGTCATCAATGTTCCTCAATGCTCCTAGATTGGGACTGCTTTTTGCATGATGCCAAAAAAGAAAGAACCTGTTTGTTGGAAAATGATATCTGCTGCTGGGGTGCTGATCACTATTCCCTTGGACCCTAAGCCGCTGGCTTTGTGAAGTCCCACGGTAGGACTTATATAAATGTTTTGACCGAGAAGGAAGACTTGTTTTGGTCAATTAATGGTTCATGACTACCTTTGAACCGCTGGTGGGCAGATGTACTCGAATCCACGTTGGCAAGAGATCACTCAAAGCCTTGAAGCCCCACAGTATCCCGTACTTGGACCGCCTTTGCTTTGAACATGTTGTTTTTATTCTTTTTGCATCTATATACATAATGGCACCATGAAGAAGATTGCATCTACATATCGTGCTCGTTTCAAACAGATCATAAAAGTGACTTACAGCTGCTTACAGCCTTATTTTTTTTGGATTAATATATATAAAATGCTTTTCACTCCTGTCTTGGACAAGACTCTCCCAAGTGATCCTGCCCTTTTGGGAAGCCAGGCTACCTTGATCTGGATGACGGCAAGGTGCGCCGCGGCAAAGCCTCACACATACATACAGAAGCTATTTGGAGGGGTTGTATGGGGTGTAAAGATGATGTCATTCACTCATTGTAGTAAAAAACAAACATTACTACTAGTAACCTTTCTGGATTGTTGAGATTGAACCGTTCAATTCAATGTGCAGTCTTTCAATTCAACAGTGGATTCCGGCGAGTTCTGAGGAAGGCGACCCTTTGAAATGGGAGGTCAAGAATCCGAATCCGCACGCCCTCGTCCCATTTTCGGTCCCAGCACCTCAGCACCTCCCATCCAAGCGATCCATCGAGGAATCTGTTGTCCTCAATTGCGGAGGTGCCCCCTGCGGCGCTCCCCGTGTTGGGGGGGCAAGCCTTCTGGAACCAGCGAGGGTCCCCACCAAGGAAAAGGCACAGCAGCAAAGGCATACATTTGGCAATTCCGTTGGAGAAACCATGGGGTGTGAATTAGAATAAGGGGAGATCTGAGATCTTTTCAGCCCGTGGGGAGAGTGACTTTTTGGTCATTGGGTGGGGATCTCCTTACTGTATTTTGTTCATCACATCTTTTTTTGCACTCTGACCATGCAGCCTTTGTGAGACCTCTTTGCATGGATATACCCAGATTCTTGACAGGGACAGCTTCAACGAATGTTCGCCTGAAGAGGTGGAGAATGCCATGGGCTCTAGAGCCTTCATCCATCAGATTTTGCATAAAGAAAGAGGGTCTTTTTATATCTTTTTAATATCTGTCTTTTCAAACGTTTGCCACATCTTCCCCGCGCTGTTCTTTCTTGGTAGGACCCTTTCACCACAGAATGCTCTGGTCCCTGGCGGCTCAAGACCCAAATTGGGCCCCCGGTGAGCGACGGAGCGCTCGGCTCTGACTGAGCGCGTCAACTCGCGGTGCGAGCCGGGCAGTTCGGGGCTGAGAGGAAGAGGGCTTTGATGGACAGAACTACATCTGTGATGATCAGGAACAGACCCCGGCATGGATGGTAGGATCTCACTTTGACGCGGTGCCTAGCTGCCTGCGATTTTACAAACAACCAGACACATCACGAAAGCCAGCACCAGCTAGCTGGAGTTGTCCTTGCTTTAGCAAGTGAGGGGCTGGAATCCTCGAGATCGCCGCATCACGTGAAAACTTCATATGTAGCTGGGACACCTCTCGACCTCTTATGGCATCCACTTTGGTTTAACTCCTCCGGGATACGGTGCAACAGATTCAACAAGCTCACAGGTTCGTAAACACATCGGATGCATCGAATAGTGTGGCAAAGTCCAGCCACGCTTCCTTAATTATCGGGGACTTCAATTCTAAGGTTGGCTGTGTCATTGCTGTTTGTGTGTCTTACATGTTCACAACGTTTTACCTCATGAGCATTTGCCTCAATCCGCTTGATGTCCCACCAGTCCGGATGCACACCTGCTAGCTTTCGTCACCTACCCTCGGCCTCAAGTTTCTATGTGTCCAGGGAGTGGTTTTTGCAGAGTGCCACCCAACATGATCGAATTGTGTGCAGCAGGAGCATGATCGAATTGGTGGACCAACTTGGCATGCTGTTCTGCGCATATTGTGCATGGATTTGTAAGCAGCCACAGCCGGGTCTGAGTAGGGATCGAAGCCTGCATGCTCCCAGACACTGCCCAGACACCAGATAGGGGTCTCTGGAGCTGTGCGAGTTCCATGGATCAGTGACTGCCAACGATCCATGAACTCCAACGCAGCCCCTGGACATACGCCCAGGGGCTGCGACCATGTCCAGCCTCCGGCGTGCCTGGGTGCGCCTGGGTCCTCAGAGAGCACAACTTCAGAACAGGTCGCTCGGTCGCCCAACGCAGCTTTTCTACGACGGCGGCTAGGCATTTAATACCTTGGTTCACTGATTTGTTCACTTCGTTTTTCTCTATCCAAAAAGTGAGGTCATGGCACTACTTTTGTTCTGTGTCGTTTTTGAGTCAGTCCTTTTCACGAAAGCTAGCGAAGCTAGCTGGAGTTACTCTTGCGATAGCAAGGTTTCTTTCGACCGGGTGCAAATCCTAACCCCTGATTTTTCAGGTCGAAGACCCCCCCCCACCCCCCCCC